TCACAAGAAGGGTTCAAAGTCTGCAGAAATGCTTAATAGGAACATAACGACTCTATCAGTGCTATCAAACTACCCAAACTCGTCTCAAAAAGGAGACCCTGTAAAGAACTGGAATCTGGGCGGTTCAATCTTCCTCTTGAAGAATCTGAGTAGTAGATGGAGATCCAAACTGCACAATCCAGCCCCCAAGGAAGGAAAACGCTGAACCGATTGTGCATGGTCCCTCACAACTGAAAACACTGCAACAGCTTAACCACCAATGGTTGGAAACGGATCAAGGAGAGAAGCAACCTGGAATTAAGGAGAAACTTCCTAACAGTGAGGACAATTAACCAGTGGAACAGCTTGCCTCCAGAAATCGTGGGCGCTCCATCACTGGAGGATTTTAAGAAGAATCTGGACAGTCACTTGTCTGAGATGGTAGAGGTTCTCCTGCTTGAGCAGAGGGCTGGACTAGAAGACCTCCAAGGTCCCTTCCAGGTCCCTTATTTATTTATTTATTTATTTATTATTTAAATTTCTACCCCGCCCTTCTCCCAGCGGACTCAGGGTGGCTTACAGCCATTTAAAACAGGTACGTAATACAAAAATACTAAATTTAAAATGTAATTAAAATAGAATATTAATTATTGGCCTTTTCTTGTTAAAATTATTTTAAAACCAAATTAAGATAACCCTTAGGCCAGTCCTGCTAGCTTAAATAGCCATGTCTTGAGGGCGCGGCAGAAAGAGGGGAGATCCGGAATCACCTTCCATCTCTATTCTATTCTATTCTATTCTATTCTATTCTATTCTATTCTATTCTATTCTATTCTATTCTATTCTATTCTATTCAACATTCTATTCTATTCTTCTATTCTATTCAACATTCTATTCTATTCTTCTATTCTATTCTATTCTATTCTATTCTATTCTATTCTATTCTATTCTATTCTATTCTATTCTATTCTGTTCTATATTCTATTCTATTCTATTCTATTCTATTCTATTCTATTCTATTCTATTCTATTCTATTCTATATTCCATTCCATTCCCTATCAATATTCAAGGGAAGACCTTTATCTCCATACTTCCAAATGTCTGACGTAGCCTTCAAGGTGGGGAAACCTAATTATTGGGCGATTCCTTGGACTGCCTCCTAATGCCTCTTCCTCATAGTGTAAGACAGTGAGCCAACCACCATGCTCCCAGGATCTTCCCAAGGAAAGACCTAGAGGAGAAAAGAATATCCAAAGGGATCCATCCGAGAGTGGCTCTGCCTTAATGCCAAAGCAGGAAACGTGCAATCTTCCAGAATGGTTAAAAATCCAGCTGTGGTCATCCCCAGCTGTAACAGTCAACAGTGAGGATGGATGGGAATGGCAGTCCATTGTCCACGTGTTATCCACGATTGAGTTCACGGAAGACCTTTCTACTCAGGCCACTGGGGAAGCAGTCCTTTCTACGAGTTGTACTTACTCTACTCCGAAAAGCCCCTAGAGACCAGCAGCAGTTCTGAAGAGGGCCTTAAGTGGGCAAGAGAAAATTAATAAAAACTAGCGGCTCCCCCTTACATAAACAGCAGCAAGTCTGCTAGGTGCTTAGTATGTTAGGGTAGGATGGACACACCGAGTAACTATTTTTCTGTGAAGCAGCAGTTCAGCGCATTTTTCGGAGAAATGTCTGTAAGCCAACTTAAATTTCCTTTAGAAGCTTTGCATACAGTATATATAATATGTTTATTTAGGTATATTGCAGCATTGATTTTAACATCTTTGCCTTTCCTTGAAAAAGGCAGCAGAGTAAAAAACTGGCCTACACAACCACAATCAGAACAGCTCCTCTGCTTATAGATTTAGGTT